ACGAAGTGCCACGCGATTATCGTATTTCGATTATTAATTCGTATGCGCGGGTCGTAATTAATTATATTAACGCGAGTGTGTGTATTTACCATCGAGAAATCTTAACCTAACCTAACCTGTGAGGAGGAAGAGGAGGAAGAGGAGGAAGAGGAGGAGGAGGCTTAGGAGGCATCGGGCCACGGCGGAGCAACCGAGGCGTAATTATTATTTGTTTATTCATTATTGGAGCAAAATTGTTTACTTCGGCGACAATTTCGTAATGCATTCGAATTTTATATTAATTATATTATAGTGATAAAATATTGTTTTTTTTTTAATTTGACGATATTTTATATTCTTGAAAAATACATAATATTTACAGATATACCAATAATTTTGAAATGCTTTACATTTATAATTCTTTATATTAACATTATTTATGTAGAAATTAAATTTTTACTTTTAAAACATTTTATTTAAATAACTTTGGAATTTTATTATACACGCTGCTGTAATTGAAATATTTTTGTATTTTACAGATCAACGGAGTATCACACATAATTCCGCTGCTGCGCATCGTATCCGTGAGCTTACAATTTTATTTTAATTTGAAAGTATATCTTCGTTGGTGGTGAAATTCCTCGTAATGCGTTTTGATACAGCCGCTTCTTCAGTCGATTCGCCGTAGATTTGCGGAGACCTCGAGGCTGCATTCGTTCCAATCTCTATTTCCATTCGCCGCCGCACGATCAAAAACATTGCCATCCTTCCCAAGAATCGCTTAATAATTTACTGCGAAAAACATATCATTTTTCAAATACAAAGTAGTTTACAATATAAATTCGTATAAATATAGAGTCGCATTTAAATGTTATTTCTTTTAACAAATTTATTATAAATGCTTCGTTATGAAAGATTGAAAATGTAATTATAAATGATATAGTCAAATTTTTGCAATAGTATATAATTCGTCTACTATATCAATTAATTAATGCAATGTATGCATATGGCTACCGTGAGCCATATATAAATCTTTATGTAATCACACGAGACACGAGTTGTGGTGGTATTTAGCAGATTGTTGTTGAACAAATTAATCGGATAAAAGTCACCTCTCGTGCAATGTTGCGTGTCGCTTTTCATTTTTTATTTTACCAAATCTTTAAAATTTGATTTATATTCGTATATGTGTGCAGTCGCGCTGTAATTGAATAATGAGAGAAAAGACTAGCGGGTTAACGATATTCTGATCGCGTAAAATATTCATGTGTTACGATTTTGCTGTAGTATCTATATTACGTCATCGTTTTCCTTTGTGCCGATCGGAATAGGTTAAAATAAGGTAGAATATAGACATATAAAAACTGTTGAGGAAGAGACCGTGATGGAAAAAAAGAGTAGAGCGAAAGGTTAATATATTCTCATAATACCCATAAACTTCCTAGACGAGAGCGCCTTTCGGGGCGCCGAATCTCTATTATTAAATGCATATCAATCAGCTGTGCGAGGGGGAACGGGGTAAAGAGGAGTGGAGCGCTTTGATGCGCTTTTAAATGCGCCCCGCTTGATTTATCGACCGCTTCCTCCGATTTCGAGCATTCGACCTTGGACACTGGAAGTCGTTCCATTAATTCGCGGATAATGAAGAGCAAACACTTTCGAAATAGTGGCCGCGATGATGCGCGAGTTTGATCGAGTTCTCGGGCGGGTAAATCGATGCTTTCGTGGAGTTTTCGAAATGGCACTTTAATAACCGTTCGTTGCTGTGTAACAGTCGGAAATTGTCGATTACATTAATCATGGGTCGAAAATTTTAAATTGTCGTTGAATAACATTTACAATTACCCAATCGGTTCATTGTCGCGATATCTTACACGTAGATCTTGTCACGAAACTCGGCTGCGTCGTAATGGACGATCGTCGTTTGCATGAGCAATGCGGTGATTAAGCGCGACCGCGCTTATTACGTTTTTCTCGGTGCTCACGTCATCTTTCGCTTACGGTATGGTTTTTTTTTTTCTAACGACGATTTCGGTGCCAGGATGTGCCGCTCATTAGAAGCTACGAATACACGCGGATCCTTTACGTTTCCGCGACACGCTGATTTTTCGTTGCGTATAATAACGAATAGCAAATACAGTAGTGACACATTAAGTACGCGAAATGCATACGGTGGAACTGTGCGGTGTATAAAATAGACTGCGCGAATCGATTTTTCGATTTCCCTAGACCATCGCTATCCTACATTTTCAACCGGATGATACGGTGTTTACGATGGAAAGTTCAACACGGTACGAATACGTTATCGTGAAGATAATTATAGTCGGCACAGCTAGGATCGTGCGAACCGCGATTTAAAAATGCGCATAACTCGTCAAGTGTTATTAAGCATTAATGCAACAAACGCAACGGTTGCCGCGTTAAATGCCGTAACAATGTTATAATATATCTATTAGATTCATTATACAAACAATAAGTGGTACATGTGGTATTAGTTATTATTAGTGTAAAATAACGTTTCTGTGATAAAAGCTTTCCCCGAGGCTTTCCCAGATAATATAACATTGGTAGCTATATCGCACAAAATAAAGAATTAAAAAGAAGAAGCAGATAAAATGAAAAATGCACAAGAAGTATTGCATATGTTATCATGTATGTTGCTATATACGATTTTACGTGACAAGATCACAAATTGAACTATTGACTTCGTTTTCTTTTTGTTTTCGAAACTGCTGAAATTAAGGCACACTCTGTTTTTATCAAAACTAATTTTGTTTTACTATTTTTCTATAACGCATTTACAAAGTTTAAAAGAAATTAATCTATTAATTAATTTTTCTTGCGATGCGCGATCTATTTTAATATCTTTTTCGGGAATTAAATTAGATCCTTATTGGGGATATTGATAATTAGCTGTAAACTGTCGGAAAAATATTAAGCCTTTGAGGACTGTGGAACCAGTAAAATACCGGAACATGCTGCTGGTGTTCCAGCGAGGACACAGAATGGCGCGTCGTGTGGCAGGGATTCTTATCAGATTCGATCCAGCTTCCTGATAGTTAATTAACGAGTTCATTATGCACCCTTGCCCTCCGTGGGCCGAGACCCGCGTCTTTTCAGGACACCGTGCAAGCCATGGGGCCCCGAAGTGAGGCATTACGGAGATCCTCGGCAGATAGCGACGGCCCGGTGGGTGGCGCTATTTTATTGCATCACGATTCTCGGCGGGACCGCGGCGACGGTGCTCGGCGCGCGTTGTTGCACTTTCAGAACTTTCAGAAGCGCTCATGAATCTCGGGCGGGAAAGAGAGGGGGGTGGGGGGAGGGAGGGGGAATTCTCAACCGGGGCACATCGTTCATCACGAGCGACCTGAATATTATTCATGATGCACGATTTACATTCGAGTCGGTATCCCGCGACTCAAATAAACCGTTATCGTATCTGTGAACTTTTATATTGCTGCTGATAACATCTTAGATTGGAAAGATGGTTGCAAGTACCGGGTATAAATGATCGAAGGACAGTGGAGAAAATTTATTACTTTGCTCTCGACAATTATTTGACATTTGATTGCAAAGACAGAGATTTTTCTTATGTTTATTTAATGTACGAGAGGTAAATTAAATATCGAACATTAGTGTGCGGTAGGCGAAAGAAAAAATAATACGAACAGGTCCGTTATTTTTACGCAGTTTTTCGGTTGCCATAAAATCTGTCAGTGTTAAGATTTATTCCGTGCCCCACGAGAAGGCGTATTACGGCGCTATTAGCGCCCTATTTGCGCATACTTTAGCTAACGTTTAAAGCTAATCACTTTACGCTAAGGACGCGCTAAAATGCACCCAGACTCGAATTTTTTAAGATCCCACACAAACCCTTCGCTTGCTCCTTCTCTAGTCCGCGCCCGGCAGCCTCTGATCTTTCGGCCCTATTTAATTTCCTGGAAAACGCCACGGCGGTTTCTGGGGGCAGCGGCATCAATCACCCCACCTGACATGGAAGCTGTAATTTGGCTAACCCAGTTCGAAACCCTGCCTTCGCCCATTTTACCGACAGCCTTCGCACCCCGCGCCTTTAAAACGGTGCGTTTGGTCGAATTATTACGCGAAATCGTTTATGATCAGTTGCTCGAAAGTTTGCATAATTAACGGTAATTTGCATTGAGACAGGATGTAAAGGTAAAGATACACAAGTGTTACATTACAAAATTATTCTCACAAGATTCATTGCGAAGAGAGAGAGAGTAAACTGGTAATAAATTTAAATTTAATGAACACTTTTTGTTAAAGAGTATAGTTTAAATTGCGTATAATATTTTTCAAATGGATCAAAATTAATATTTCAGTCGAAGTAATTTAAGAAAATATTTGATCGCGCGCGAGTCATAAATATCGAAGCAATCCCGAGGGGAGGCCAAAGCGTACAAAAGCGGTACCGAAAACTTTCGACGAGCAAGTCGGCGCAAATTTGTTGAGAGATCCCCAGTCGAGGAAGCGGCATAACCAAGACCGAGTGATTATAGGGGTGGCGCTAGAGATCTTCGGATGATTTACATCCCGGCGAGACTCGAGTCGGCCTAGACTAGTTCTAAATCTCTCAGCTTAAATATCTGCGGCTGGGCGAGCGGCTAGACGCGAGCCGTCCCTCCTGGCAACATTCAAATATTTTCCGCCATTCATAAATTCGTCAGTATACGCGCGCTAAATTACCCACCGGCCGAAGCAACCGCGTCTCTTCTCACGAATCCCTGCCAGGCTTCGCTCACCGAGACGAAAGAGATTTTTAAAAATGACCTTGAATCGGCATTACATGGGTGGTCTTGCGATATGATGAATTATATAAAAATTGCGTAAGACTCGAACATTATTATAAATCACTTCTGTAAATATGTTATAGCGCAGTTACATACAGAATTATTCGAAATGAAATATCTTGGAATGTATATATTTATTTTAAACTCTCGAATTATTACATTTTATCATTTCAAAATTGTAATTTTGCATTACGTAAAATTATATTGAAACTGATTTCTTAGTGTTCTTCGAGTTTTCATGCATAAAGACGAGAACTTCTGGACGTATAACTGCACTTTAAACGTGTAACGACGAAGAGTATTTTATCGGAGATACGACAGAAATATTCCATGAATGACGCGAAGTCGCACGTTGATCCCCCAGGAAAACGATCACGCCATGACTTACGTGGCTCGTAAAAGCTGCTGGTGGTTCCAGGAACACCTGGATGAGGTCAGGGATGTTTTTTAAGTCTCGCGCGAGGTGTAACTGCGCACAATGAAAACCGTTCCAGTCACGTAAACATCGTCCAGAACGACGCGGAATACAATGCCTTGGATGCTAACGAGATTCAGGTGGAATTCGACCACTAGACAGTATCGCGAAAATGATGCCCGATTCACGATCGTGCAGATTACAGTAAAGCTATATTTAAATGAAGTGATCATTTCATCACTTTTATAAACTCGCACGTATTTCATAGTCTTTAATTTTACTATGCATAATATATTCACAGCGTATTTTAAGTATTTCAAACATCACATATATTTTCTGCTTCAAGCGATGTTTATTAATAGTAATTAAGAAATTTGTTTTACAATTTTGTGAGAATCTACGATACGGTTTCCAGCGAAGTTCTGCAACTCGCTCATTCGTACGCGAAACAACCTATTGTTTGCAGCCGAGATGATCTCAGCTGTGATGATGATGACCGATCTTATTGCGATCCTGTCCAGCGGAACTTGATACCGTGAATCTAGCATCCGCGCGAGCGCTATAGCTATTATCGATCCGCAAAAGCTGGATAAAATCTCGTGCTCTCCATGCCGAGATAATGTATCATCGATAATTTGGCGCGTAGCCGTTACACAATAAATATAACTTACATGCATGGTTATGTGAAGAAATCAATAATCTAGAAACTAAAATTTTACGATGTTTTCTATTTTTTCCATATTTTTAAGACAATAGTAATTTAATAAGAAATATTAAAATATTTTTTACTAAATAATAATATTGTTATAATTGTTAACAAGAATAATTTTCCATTTTCGTCAGTTTTTGTAAATATTAATGCCTCGCGTAATTTTACATTCTAATTCTATATCTATATAATTTTTGTTTCGCGTATAAATGCTATTCATATTCTCGCGGGGTGTATTAAAAAGCGCAACTCACATGATTAAAGAAATTTTACTCGAACAAAAACACGAATCCATGGTTGGTCAGATTGCGCAATCTGCATTTAATAAAACCAGCGGTACCCACGCCACGTTAACAAGGAGATAGCAGGCAATTTGAGATTCATTGTGCAGGCATACAAATTCTCCATTATTATCTTACCTGCTTAGACGGGGATTAATTCGCGAAGCTGAGAACAGGAGGAATAGGCGCAAATCATACACGTCTTCGGTTTGAAACATGCAATTCGCACCTTGTCGCATCCTTAGATGGAGCTCATTTTAAATTTATCGCGAACGTCAAACTTGGATAGTTCTATATACATTCGTATTTAGTATCATATAGTATCATTTAGTATATAGAATTTAGAAGTGACCAGGTGATGGATTTTGATCTCAGAAGTGAGATGATAAAAATGACAACCTCGACTAAAAGTAATATGTCGGCTAAAATAATAAAATTATACCCTATATAAAAAAGAAAAGGGAGAGGAGATTGGATGGATAATAAGGTGAGATGTGTTTCGATTTGTTCGAGGCGTCATTCTATATCGTCATTAGCATAACGGAGAATAGGTATCCACGAATACGAACGCGCGGCGCGAATCCCATCGATAGGATCGCGCCAACGATCGCTCCTCCCGATCGTAATGCTACGCGAGAGAGAGAGAGAGAGAGAGAGAGAGAGAGAGAGAGAGAAAGAGTCCGATTTTTCGTGGTGGCGTGCGGTCATCGTCCACCCGGGTTGCGCTCACATCTCGTTGTAATACTCGGCCGCGCGCGTCGGCCCCGACCGCGGAGTAATGCAATAATAGGCGTATACTAATGATACGGGGGGGCCACGCGGGGCGGCCCTGGCGAAGAGGATTCAGTCACGTAGTTGCATTAAACTTAATATAAATAATAGCGGTTTGTGGAGCGTCCGGGTGAGCCCCGCGCGCGCGGACGGGGTATATACCCACCTATCTCCATCTGCCCATCCGCCGCCTGCACTCTCTCGCCGAGACCATAATACACCGGGGTCTCTACGTCCCTGGACTCGCCTCCACTTAATAAGCAGGATCGTCCTGAATCACCACGGCAGCCGGGGCTCACCTCGCATCTCCCGGGATCGTTACCGTTGACCGGTTGCCTCTCCTCTCGGTGAAATGCTCTCTCGGATCGAATTATTGGTTCTCGAACGTACGAATATATAATTCGCTGAAATCGCGAGCGCGTTTGCTATCGCGATGATGCCGGCTGGTCGATACGATTGTCGGGATACGATTTATGCGTTTTTATTTTGTTGGAAACAAAAATTGCGCGCGCTGTGGATGCGATACGTCGGTATTTAAGTGAGATAGGCGGAAAAGTAGAAATCTTTTAATGACAGGCCACTTGGAATTCAAGTTGACGTTTCTTTATACTCTTCAGAAATGTAGGTTCCAGCATTTTTAGTTTGAGTAGTTACTTATAAATGCGTCTCACAGTCCCATTAAGAAGAAGAGCGGAGCAATCTATCATTGAGACTTGAAATATCGCATTGCGAATGAATTACAATTCGATCTAAACATATACTGGCGCCGATAATAATGCAGAAGCGACTCGCGACTCTCGTCGCGATAAATAAATCGAGGATATCTCTCGATCCGTCGATCGTGATCCCGAACTATAAATCCCGGCGAGTCGGAAGAGGTGCACGTTTTCAGAGTTGAAGAACATAATAAATATGACCATCGTCGTTTCTCTTTTACCCTCACGACAATCGGCAGAGCCGTTAACGTTATTAAATTATCGCATTTACAATTCAATGTATCACGGGCTGTTCACCGCGGTTGCATCTTCTTACTTTGTATTTGCTAGTTTTGAAATTCCAGCCGACATTATTAAACTTCTGTCTGTGCCGCGGGTAACAGCATCTCGCAGTGACGTGACTAGGAAACATAGCATCCATCAATTTTATACTTTTTACCGCTAAAGTATTACATCTTGTTACAAGTATCGCTAAAGAGGAGTACTTTGAAAGGGCTTTAATTTACTGTATTATTTAACATTACTTTTTATACAACATGTTTTATGCGAGAATAATGCATGGAAAAAGAAAGTTACGATCGGAATAATTTTCTTATTAATTCTCGATATAATCAAGACACAAAGACCATTGAAAATCTTGAATCTAATATTTATTTTATCAGCATTATAATTAATAACGAATATTTATAGTAAAAATGAAATATTTATAATGAAGTATTCTCATAACAAAGCTTAAATGCTAATTTTACTTACTCGGTTAGTGTTAATTTCAACGGAGGGGAGTTCTTCCGTAAGAGTAAATAGAAAAGGCGCGAGGGCATGGATGGATAAGACGAACAGCCCATCAAAGAGCAACGACGAACGTATCGACGATCGGCGACTGGCGATCGTCAGTTGAAATTGGCCGTTCCGTTATTCAGCGAATTAGATGTATACTTGGACTACGTTCACTTCTTCCTCGACATACGTGGCATTTGCAGTTGCGAATCTGCGAATATGTTGCGCCGTGCAATTTCGCATCTTGATTTCGTTTTTTTAAACCGATCGAGATGAATGAGTCTGCAATTGTTATACCATTGAAAAATACTTTAAAGTCTCTCTTATTAAATTTAATTTGAAACAATGACATTTTAACGTATCAGGCTCCTTGATATTTTAGATAATTGTGAGATTAAATACATATGATTCAATTTTTTACATTTATCTCCCGCGTTTCTCTACTCACGTTGAATTTCTTCCTTGTGACAACACGTTTATGGAAGGTAAAATTGAATTCCTCGAAATTAATCCCGTTGCCGCTAATCCGTGGCAATCAATTTGATGGCAGGTCGCGGCGTAAGAATGCATTAGTCTTGATGCCGTGTTCTTAGAATCGCATTGCCCCGCTTGTCGTAGTTGCCAATGCACGTCTTGGCTTAATAACCAGTTCTCCCCCACGCGTCTTTGAGGCCACTGGACTACCTCGGGGCGCTCCTTCTGCCGCCGAGGGGCCGCCGGAGAGTTTTATCGTTCCCTTGACGGCTGTCTTAAAAAGTACAGGCCGAGAGAATGATTTGTATACGTCGCAAGAGCGTAGCGACTCGTGTCTATAAGTATAGACCGAGGTCGGAGGAATGATTTGTACAGGATAGCTCCGCAGGCTGTTTCGCGGCCCAACAATTTCCCGAATATCTACGAGGATACGTATGTAGGATCTCTCTAGGATATACGGGGGTAGTCCTCGGCCCATTCCAAGGGGGGNGGGGGGGAGCGACCGCTGCCGGCTGGCCTCCTCCGTCATAATTGCCGGACGCCGCGTTTAAGATAACACGATAATTATGACGAGACAACGACGTAGGAGCTAAAACCTAATCCGGGCCGGCCTTTCCTCCCAGAAATTTGTTTGGGGAAACCATTTTTCACGGCTCGGACAGTAATAATAGCGCCGATCCCAATGGCGGGGTCCGTGATTACATCGCCCCTGCACGGTTGTTCCCCCCCCCCCTTCTTCGGTGGCGGTATGTTAATTCATTCTGTGAAATCATATCAATCCGCGCAATTCTCGCTTCAGCTGAATAATAATCTCCGTGACTTTTGTGAGAAAAATGGCGCTTTTATGTAAATTCATTCCAATTATTATTTCCCTTCGCTATTTCAAGGGATCTGTGCATTCTAAATTAAGTAAGAAAAAGCGAGATGATAAACGGCTGAAAGGTTCCAACTGCGCGCGTGTATCTGCACGTGCGCTTAGATCACGATAAAAAAATAAGTGAAACAAAAGGCGAACGATATGGCCGATGACAGCGAACGCGCTACATTCTGTCCCGTAGATAAGAATCGCATATATAAAACGTCGCTACACTCTCGCCTTGCGTCCCTCGAGCCCCTCTCTCTTTCTCTCTCTTTCTCTCTCTCGTCGGTTCCTCTCACGAACGGTTAGATATCGACAATTTAAAGGCCGATCGTAAACTACTAGCCGCGATTTTTATCACAATGGTACAAGACGCTCAGCGGTGTATCCTCCTTTTCTTTACTGTTATAATATATATATATATATTTTTTTATATCAAAACGGTATCAGTTTTAACATTATGATACTTTTTCACTGCGGTTCTCTCGGAACAAAAAGAGCGCCAGTACATTATACGTATATAATACATAAATTTAGTATATTAAATTTTACACGAAAATGATATACTAATTAAGCTAATGAAATGGAAGTCATATATAGTTTTTCGTTTTTTAATTTTAATTATTCGAAAATTTCTACTTAGCAATCTACTGCATTTCGCAAATGTAATTTTAAATCGTATTTCTCACATTAATGCGAGGAATGAAAATTCATGTGTAATCATATGTCTGTTACTCGAGCAAACAAGAGATTTATGGGTTGAAACGACGCGTATCGTTTCAACTGATAAGTTAAAGTAATAACGTGACGTGCGTGCAAGCTGTATGCGTACGTTATATACGAATATATCTGATATAGTTCACGATCACGTGCGATAAGGATTAATAGTTCTACAAGACACGGTGCGCCCGAGGTGAATACTTGTAACTAATGCGCCTACGATTAACGTGTGAGACGCGGTAAACTATCGCTGCGCGATGCTCGCGTTCCGCCGATTATTATCATTTTTAATTGCAACGCAATGCGCGCGACTAATATTCTCACACTATATACCACGCGGCACCTCGCGACGCTACGAATCGCGGCGAGTATCTCCACCGTCGTCATTTATTCCTTTATTCTTTCTCGCCTATATCGATAATTAAGTTACGTATACCATCCCTCCGCGGCGGTTACTCACTTCTTACCTCGATTTTTCTCCGTTACCGTCTCGCTCTTCGGAGGGCGATAAGCTCACGTAGGCGGTCGAAGTTAATGAATCGGAAGGAATAACGGCAATCAGCGAAATATAAATGAAGAATGGCGGACCGATCTTTGGCTCGCATGTCACGCACGCAATGTGCCACGTCGAATCACGGACGAAGGGTGAATAGGCAGGCGAGAAGCAGAGGAATAATTATAGGAAAATCGCGGGGGGCGGAGGGGGGGGGGGGAGATAAAGATTAGGCGCGTGCTTTACTGCTTTCTGTTTTCTATTTTCTGAACAGTAAGAGAGAAGCGAGAAAATTTCTGTCTTTATATTATTTCATATTATTTTGTTAGAAAGTCAACACACACAGAATAGCTGACTCAATATTAATACAATAATTCGCTGATAAGAGGATAAAGATTGCATCTTTGAATTTCTTTAAAATCGAACCATTAACTGTTCTGCCATTAAGTGCATCATCGGACACAGAGATTATTCGTACTCTTAATTATGTAATGTCTCGGCGAGGAGGATTTCTAGGGTGGTGCGAAGGGGAGCGAGCCGTTCTTAGCCCGGCGAATGGTGGCGATTAATAAAAGCGAAGAAACTCGGTGTAGAACTACGAAAGATTTTCCAGTCACGTTCACCTTGGCCGGAGTTAATTTACGAAATAAATAATATCTTCTTCTCGCGCCGCTCGTCGAGGGGGCGGAGGGTAGCGAAGGGAGCCGGGAACGGGTAGAAGACGAAGGAGTGAGCAGGGGGAGGGGTCGTGGAGAACGTCGGAGGAGATATGGCGAAGGTCGAGGGACCAGGGGAGAGACTCATAAAGCTGCCTACGTGTCGAGCGTAATGAGAACCGGTGATTTTTCTTTCCGCGCTCGCGAATGTAAAAGAAAAATGAAGGCGCGCTCTTTCTTCTCCCGGGGGGTGTCGGTGTATGGGTGCCACCGCCGTGGTTGCCGCAGGTGGCGTCGCCACCACCGTACCGGAAATCTTCCTCCGTCTGATATCACACGCCGGATCAGCGATCCTCCGGAAATCAATGCGATTTTGTACATAAAACGAAATCGGATCACGAGTAATAACTGGCATGGAACCATCAATTGTGAAAAATCGTCTCACCGTATATAAAAAATGCGAATTTCAATGTTTCTTTACACGCTTTTGATGCGCGTATTTTCTGCATATTTTACAAGACTGCACAGTTGAATCTTATGTAAACAAAGTGAAAATAGTTAAAACAATTCTGCTACTAAGAAATTATTCATGCATATTATTCCTATAGAATTTCGACACAGTTACTTGAATTATTATTGGTATTTATTAGTCGATGCCATAAACTGGATTAATTAAGAAGAGATTTTAAAAAATGTTATGCGAAAAGGACGTATCGTGTATCGTATACCGCGTCGAACGAATCCCGAGGAGGCTTTATACCCGCGGCCTTTCCGGCTACCTAATACCCGGGGCATATACACGGGCATCATTTTTATAGCGGCAATTTCATTTGAGCCTCGACTCATGCAGTGGTTTCTGATGAGCGAACTAAAGCAACCCTCTTCCTCCGCCGTCGGCCCTTCCTCTCGCTTCCTCCCCGGGCCGCCCTTCCTTTTTCCTCCTACCCTCGCCAAGACGCCATCTTTTCATTAAAACGGTTCATCTGTGAGCCACGCCGAGGCGCTGCCCTTCTCCCCTGGATCTTCCGATGGTGAAGAGAAAGCGATGAAGAGAGGAAGAGGAAGAGAGAGAGGAGGAAGGCAGAAGAAACAGCGGAAGAAGAGAAAGCTAGTCTAAGGTAAAGACCGGATAGGGAGGGGAAGGTATAGCTTCGCTAAGTTTTCCTTCGTTTCATATCTCAACTCGCTCTCCTCCTTCATCGGCCTCCTCCTCGCTTTCTCTTTCATTCTCTCTCTCTCTTTCGCTCTCTTTCTCTCTCTTATCGCTGGACTAGACTGGCTAGGCGTGCTCTGATTAATGCCCCCGCTAATAACGTCTTCTCCCTGGGGAAAACCAACCCCTGCCATCGACCGAGCTGAGCAGACTTATGCGGAATTAAAAACACATCTCGCAAGCTATGGCGAGTTATTGCGACGGGCATTGTCTCCGATCTTCCGCGTCGGTGAACTGTTTTTCGAAGGTGCCCACCGTCAACCTTCCGAGTCACGGTCGTTGTGAGATAAAAGGCATGTTGGTCGTTTAGGAGATTCATAGCTGTAACTTATGATTTTATTCAAGGACAGTCGAAAGAATATAAATGCATTGAATGATATTGAATAATATTGCATTAGAAATATATCAAAGCATTGTTAACTGTAAAACTTTTTCCAGCTTTTAGCTTACAATTTTGTTTAATTAATCTATTAATTATAATCATAATTTTAAGATTCGTAATCTTTTTTCGTATACCCAGAGTGCTTGATATATAAAGCTGAAATACTTGCAATGGCAATTTATGTTACGTTAGAAATTAAGCAGCAGTTATATTGAATTTATTACCATGCAGCTAGGAATTTCTTCGCATCCGTCGAAAATCATTGCGGCCATA